GTTCATAAGTGCTGAGGAGAATTATTGATAGGGTAAAGAGTTTAGTTAGGGAGGGTTTCTCTGCTGTAGGTGTCAATGAAGATCTGTTGAGTAAGTGAACTGAATGAATGAATGAATGAATGAATGAATAAACTAATGAGGGGTTGAAGTAAGTATGAAAAGAATATGACTTGATTTAAATGCAAGAAAATGTGAATGGTCACTCTAAGAGATAAAATGGATAAATGAAGATGTGGTAGAGGAACTGGTGGTGGGGAGAGCTACAGAAAGGTCAGTAAACACAAGAGCCTGACTAATGGAGGAGCTTTATAAGCAAAAAGAGTCATGCACTTGAATTACATCAAAGAAGTTGTTTAAATACAATAGATGATAGGAAATGTTTTAGTCTCCTAAGCAGGAGACAAATGCTAGAATATTAGAATTGTAAAAGGATTCATCTTTAGAAATAAAAAGACAATTGGCAGTCCCAGCTAAATATGAATCAAGGAAGTAGTTTAGAGTGAGGAAATTAGATTATACATATCAAAGGTTATTATGTGAATAGTTTGAAAAATTCTTCCAAGAGTCTTCAGAAAGCTTTTATATGGTTTTTATTGGTAGGTACATCATAATTATACATAATAGCAAGATTCACTACAACATATTCATTCATGAAGTTATGTTATGATCAATCTCATTCCCCAATACTTCACCCCCCATTTTTCTAGTACTGTAGACTGAACCCAGGGCCTTGTGCATGCTAGGCAAGCACTCTACCACTGAACTATACCTGTCAACACCAAGAGACTATAGAAATCCTTCTGAGAGTCCGATGTATGATTGAAATTTCTGCTATGAGAGAATTGTTTAGAAAAAAATTTCAAGGGCATTTCATGCCATAGCTATAGGTTTCTTTGATAATTAAGACTGGATATGTATTAGTAGTGCCCAAATGAGTAGGGTGGGGTCATTCCAAACCATCAATACCACCAATAGTGAAATCAACTGATAAAGGAGGACTAAAAGGATGGAAGGAAGAAAGGAAGAAGGAGGATGAAAAATAGAGAAGGGTGTGTCAGGATGAGGCTCAGACCCTGGGAAACAGATTCAGGATCCCAGCAGGTAAATTTAGGAAGATACAAGGCACAGCTGGATAGCAGACAGGCTTTATTCAGAGATGGCATTGGCCCCACTCTCCAGCCCTCTGATTCTTTCCATAGGCCTAATTGCCAACAGGTTATATAAGTGAGCACATGCTCACAAGAAAGTGTTCATGACCTTGAGTGCATACACTGAATCAGGGTGTTCATGACCTTGCTGCATACTAAAAACATATCCCACTGGAAGCCTTGGTAAGGGAATCTAACTATAGCCATCTTGGGTCTACCCTATATACGGGAAGATTGATAGAAATTGAAATGTTTTATCTATTACATAATCTTTGAACTGGGAACATCCATGGAAGTATGTCATAAATGTAACTGTGATCCATCAGGTGCATAAAAACAAGTTAGGAGTCACTGGGTAAAGGAATATCACTGATCCAGTCTTAACCATTTTGCTTAAAATAAAAATAAAAACGATTCCATAATCACATGTACATCTCTATCAGTGATTAGGTGGAACTTCAACCCCAACTTAAACAATAGTTGAGGAGAGAGTCCACTCAACCAATTAACTCTTACTCATATGAAGATCACATTTCCACCTTTGGGATAACTTTCCAGGTGTGGTTTATGTGAGGTGATATGCATAGGCTGTGACAAGTAGGCTAAAGAAATAGAAGTTATTTTTTCTTTATTCTCTTTATTCTTTCTTGGTAACAAGGGGGGAGAAAGACTCTAAATGTGTCCATTCAAGAAAGTTTCTCTTTCAACTTTTTTTTTAAGAGGTTAGGTTTTAAGCTGAGTCAACCGAGAGTTCCCTCTTCCCCTAGGGGATTTCAAATCCTAAAGGAGTTTACATATCATTCTGATTTGTAAGAAGGAAAGCTGAGATCTTATTGTGGAATTCTCCAGAGACGGGTCTACCTAGTCTCTGGGAATTTTGTGTTTTTATTCAATTACAGGTGACAGGTTCCACCTAGTTCTTGTAACATCATACTGACAACAATATAGAGTCAGCATACCTAACCAAAGGTTTTCTTATTCAGCAGCCTCTTTATTCCTATCCCAGGCTTCTTCTAATTTACTGGGTTTCTTGGCATTTCCATATAGGTCTGTCTGGTTTCCCCAGGCACAGGTGGACCACAGAACAGGACATATGGAGATACCATCTCAGGCCCAGTCTTGGCCATCTCTCATTAGAGAGCTGAATAGCACGGTGTTGCTCTGATTCCCCAAAAGGAACTTAAGATCTAAACCTTGAGAAACATTGAACAAGCTACCCTGCCCTGATATTCTGGACATCTTTACTGCCCATCAGTGCCTCCCCTACCAAGTTTTTTTCCAAAAGAATATAAACATGGGGAGTGTGTTTATGGATGAGGTAAACAATGGCATAAAATGGGTTATTATCCTTTGATTCCTCTTTCACCCCGGATCCTCTCCCCAAATTCTAAGAGAGTTTTCTTTGAGTTTCATTTACCCACCCATTTCTTGGGGAAACAATAATTTGCTTCATCACCTATACTTAGTGGCCAAAGACTATAGGGAAGGCCCCAAATACACAATGTAAGAAAATTGTCTGGGTTGGTTTTTTTTTTTTCTTTTCTTTTTTTTTTTTTTTTTTTTTTGTATACTCCATTAGACCAAGAGTTTTAAGGTAGAAACTATTTTACCTTTTTCAGGGTGTTCTAAACTGCAAATATTGGTATGTAGAAAAACAGCTCCCAGGAGATCATACCAAGTTGGCAAGGAAGCACCTATTTCAGAGACAAATACAAGTAAACTTTTAATACAAAATAGGATCAGATGAAGGAACAGAATGCAAAGTCCATATACAAACTGATTTTTTACAAAGATACAAAGGCAATTTAGAGGAGAACGAAGAGTTTTTTCAATAAATGGTGTTGGAACAATTGGGTAATTATATTGTGGGGGGATTCAACCTATATCTGTGGTGGGCAGAATAATGTCCTCCCCAAGATGCTCACAATATTTAGAAAATTAAATGATAAACCACAAACTAGGAAAAATGTTTGCAAATCTCGTATCTGAGAAAAGACTTTTCTCCAGAATACCTCAAAACTCAATAACAGGAAAAAAATTGGTATGGTTTTAAAATGGGTAGTGTCCCCCAGAGGTCCTTATGTAAAGGCTCCATCCCCAAGGTAGCAGTATTGGAAAGTGTGTGGGCCTTTAAGAGGTGAAGTCTTACCAGAGGTTCTTAAGTCACTGGGGTGTGCCCTCAAAGGGAACTATGTGAGTCCATCCATCCTTTGTCTCTTGCTGCTTCCTAGCTCAAGATGTGACACTCACTTGGACATGCTGTCCTGCCATGATATGCTGCCTTGCCAGAGGCCTAAACCAATTAGGCCAGCCAATTTGGGATTTGAACTTCCAGAATCATGAGCCAAAATAAATCTTTTTCATAAATTGTGTTGGGTATATATCAGCATAGTGATAGAAAGATGACTAATACACAAACACAAACCAAAAGATGAAGTCACTTCACCAGAGAAGATATATGATGGCAAATAAGTGCTTGTAAATATGCTCAAAATCATTAGGCATGGAAAAATTAAAATTATAACGACAAGGAGATATCACTACATTTTTGTTGGCAAAGATATGGAGAATCTGGAACTTTCATACACAGCTCTTTTGAAAAGCGTTTAGCAGTTTCCCAAAAGTAAAATACACCATGACCCAACCATTAGGTATTTACCCAAGAAAAATTAAAACAGGTATCTATACAAAGATCTGTAGATGAACGTCCATAACAGCTTTATTTGTAATACCCCAAAACTCGAACTACCCAAATTTGCATCAACGAGGGAATGGAAAAACAAACTGTAGAATATCCACACATTGGAATAACTACCCAACATAAAAAAAAGTAGAGATGACCCTCAAAATAATTTATGTAAAATAAGCCAGACAAAAGAAGAGTACACACTTTGATTTAATTTATGTAAAATTCAAGGAAATGCAAACTAATGCATAGTGAGAGAAAATAGATCAGTATCTGGGCAAGGAGGGCTTTGGGAGGACAGAAAAACAGGATTGCAAAGAAGCACGAGCAAACTTCTGGGGGTGACAAAGATTTAATAGTTTGATGGTGATGATGACATATGGGCATAAAAATGTCAAAAATTTTCAACTTTCCCACTTTATATATGCGTGGTTTATTGTATGCCCTTTATGCCTTCATTAAGCTCTTTTTAAAATACAATAAGAAAAAATGTTTAATATGTAAAAGAGAGGATCAGATAGTGGAGTTAACAACATTACTAGCCAAGAAGCACCAGACAAGGGTAAGTGGGGTTTCTCTGGAGGCCTTGCAAAGAGACGATAAGTGAGGGCAGGGCCATGGGCCCAGAACTGCTTGTCTGCTGAGGTCACGTGAGGGGTGTAGGCTGTGGTACTGGATGCAAATCTTTGGGGTTAAGAAAGACAACACCCCAGGGAAGAGCTGGAAGATGGATGTTTGAGAATGTAGCTCAGGCAGATTCTTTGTCCTCCCTCGAACTCTTGTTTCAGGAATTTATCGGGGAGTCAAATGCACTCCCAGTAGTCTGATTTCTGTTTCTAATATGTGTGAGCAGTTTGTTTTGCGTTTGAGGGAGGATGTTTTGTTTGGTTTTTGTGTTTAAACTGGGTGACGTAACCCACGCGGAAGCTGCGATGTCCAATCAAGAATGAAAATAACGCACTTACAATCAGTGATCAGAAATCACCTCGCCACAACCAACGGGGAAATGACACAATGGGAAATTCCGAGTCTCAAACCCCAGCCTCGGCTGTGGGCTTCAGTCTCCACAGCTGCCCCGCCCGCTTCGCCCAGTTCTGTAGCCCTTTCCTTCCGGAAGGACTCCGCCCTCCTTAGCAGGAGGCGGGGTCGGCATGGTCCCGCCCCCGGCGCGCCTTCTTCCACCCGGCACCGCCGCGCGCAGCCTCGGCAGGGTCGCTTTACGACCGGAGGAGTCAAAGACTTAAGGTAGGAGGCCGAACTGAGGGGCGGGGAAAGGAGGTTTTTGCGTCAGAACGTAAGTGACGGCGAAGGCGGCGCGACAGCAGCTGGAGGGCAGGAGAGGCGGGTTGGTGATTCCCGGGCCGAACCGGGATGTGGGGGGCGCGGGGCTTGGGCAGGGGCGGTAGCTGAAAGCCCGCTGCGACAGCATGGGTGAAGGGGAGCGGAGAGGGGGAGGCCTTGGGCTTCTTTGGGTGGTGGGTGGGTCCGAAGGGCAGGCGGGCCAGAGTCCCGGGTCCAGGCCGGGGATCTGACCCATGGTGCCCCCTCCCCCACTCCCCGAACTCGCAGCGCGGCCGGTCCTGTCCTCGCCATGAGGCCGCAGCAGGCGCCGGTGTCCGGGAAGGTATTCATTCAACGAGACTACAGCAGTGGTACACGCTGCCAGTTCCAGACCAAGTTCCCCGCGGAGCTGGAGAACCGGGTACGCATCGTATCTCCCTGCACCTGCTCTGGGGCGAGGGAGGGTATCACGGCACGAGATTCGGAGCAGAGAGGGAGAATGGGCTAGATATCCGGTCTGTCTCTTGGTTCTGGGGGAGAGGCAGACCCAGAAGGGGGCCGTGGCTAAAGATATTTGAAGGCAGCAAGATCTGATGTTTGGAGAAGGAAAAATAAGACCAAGCCCCTAGGTGTGATGATCTTATAGAACTTTATGATGCCCAGTGTGGGAAGTCTGTATCCACCAGTCGTTGTACCCTTCTGTCAGTCATCCCCACCTCCTGGTTATTGACAAGAGTGATGATCAGTCATCTCACTCAGCTGGTTGTGAGCTATATCCTCCTACCTTTCCTCGCAAAGAAAGCATCATCTTCCTCATGACTGGCATTTGTGGTCACTGTGCTGGTCAAACTGCTCAACTAAAAAGGTTTGTTAAGTGTTGTGCCAGGCAAGGCAGACAGGCCTTCTTGGAACCTGAAAAACGTAGAGCATGACATGGGCTTGGACAGGAAAATATTTCAGAACAGGGCCTTAAGCTCGTCACTCCCAGTTATGATCACTGGTAGCTACCTGTTTGGCTTGCATATCAAAATTTTCATCAGCATATAAGACAAAAATGAAAGAATGAGATTTGTTTCATCTTCCTTCAGATTTACCCATCCCCTCAATTTTATCTTTCTGAAAAAGTTAAATGGAGTGGGTGAAGGTGTGTGTTTTCTTGTACTCCCATGTGTTCACCCAACCAAAGGACAGTTCTTTTAGTCTCCAGCTCTGTTTCCTATTCAGGTCAGTTTCTGGTTAGCTGGGAGCAAGTTTTGTGGTTCTTTCCTCTATGGTATCCAGGGAGAGGGACTGAGAGGTAATTAGGTATGATGTGGGTGTGAGGATTGGAAATGCTGGTCATAGGCTAAGAGGGTGAGGTAAGTGCTTACTAGAGAGAGACCTACAGCAGCCATTTAAAGCCAACTTGCAGGCTAGGATTGTAGCTTAGTGCTAGAGCATATTCTCAGCACTCCTGAGGCCCTGGGTTCAAATCCCAAACATCAAAAATAATCAGATTTTTTGACCAAGGTGTGTTGCTCTACCTGATTGACATGATCATTTATAACAATGATCATTTATAGTTTCCTTCAGCTTGATTTATAACTACCAGTAGGTTAGGGACCCAAAGATGCTTCTTTAACAGTAAATTAAATATATCAAGCATGCCTTAAAAAGATGGTTTGTAGTTTCGCTTGTTTGTGAAATGCTATTCAAATGCTACATTTTGTTGTCGGTGTTGAGTTAACTTGGCATGACAGTAAGTGGACATTTCAACAGTAGTTTGAAGAGGTAGAAGTTGAGCAAGTTTAGAACTAGATTTTTAAAGTTCTTTACAGTTAACATGTTCTACATGTGAATACTGACATAAAATGGATCAAATATTTTTAAGCTTCTTTTAGAAACTATGACTTACATAATTTAAATACATTCAAAGCAATGTAAACTTTTTTCTGTACACATTTGCATATTGCAAGATTCCTTTGTATGTTTAAAAGTCAAACTTCCAGCTCATAGTTGAGACAAATACATTTATGCAGAAGCCTTCCACTGAGTATGGTAGAGCCTTTTTTTATAGTGGAGTACAGAAGCAAAATGTAATCATAATACTTCAACTGATTATTACAGGAAATTGATGTTGCTAAATTCTGGAGTTATTTTACTTCTTTGACTTCATATAGCCCAGAACAGGCTTGTGGTACTAAATACTGTTTGGAATATTATATGTTGCTATTCAGTTGTCCTTTTTAATTTTTTTTTTTTTTTTTTTGTCTTTTTAAATGTTTGGGTTAAAATACTACCTTATATTTTAAACCACTTAGGAAAGCTTTAGTTTTTTTTTTCCTATGCCAAGATTAAATTTAAATTACAGGTTTAAATCTTCCTCACTTTGATGGGAAACTGAAAGGTTTCTCTCTATGTTTCTCTACTACCCTAGAAATGTCACTGATTGCTCTGCCACTGGGTCTGATTTTCCTTATGTGAGAATATCCCACTAGGCAATTTAATAGAAGAAGAAACTAACATACAAATGTTTTGTGTTACTTCTATGCATTTTTTAAAAAGCACACATTTGTGTACTTTAATTTGAGAGTTTAGATAAGTTCCATTAACAAGACTACCTCTCCACCACTTGTTAGAATGCTTTTGACGCTTAAGTGCTTTGTTGCTAGACAGTTTTGTTTTGTTTTTTCCTGTAAATTTGCAAATATAAATATACTAAAGCATAGTCTACTCAAATTTGGATTAAGTATAGGTACAATATTTCAACAAAATAACAACTTTATGCCAGATAGTTCTTTAAAGGAAGCTTTAGTCTCATTTCAGCCAAAATGCAGAGATATCTTAGTCACCCTTAGTCTGGGTAGAAGAAAAATGAGTGGACTATAATTGTGGCTGTAATTCCCCTGCATACCTTTTAAAATATGTCTACGTTTGGTCTGTAGAGATTACCTTTGATTTGCCACCTTGGATTTGTGATCACTCTAAGCTTTAGCACCATGCAATTCAACAAGAACAAAAAAATTCTGGAAAAGAGTCTGATTTCCATTTCCATTCTGGGTTTCAGTGTCTAATGGTCCAAATTTGTATTTTGCTTCAACTTTATATATAATCTCCAAATTTTAATTCCTGTATCAGTGTTCAGAGAGTGACAGGAGTACAGAGAGCTGTCTTCTTAGGGCCTAAAGGTAGTAGGGAAAAAATGCCTTAATTTGTTATTTTGAGCTCTTGCATTTTAAGGACAGTTGTGTCACTTAACAATAAGGATACATTCTGACAAATACATCATTAGGCAACTTTTTTGTTGTACAAACATCATAGAATAAACTTACACAAATCTGAAATGTATGAGGCTGCTGCTGACATATTGTTTTATAGTAAACTTATAAGTAGGAATAAAGAATAGCACAGAATATACATAAACCAGTAACATATTCACTTATTATCATCATGGGGAGTTTTATGTACTATTCATAATTGAATACATAACTACTTTCTCTATGACTGGCAACATGGTTGGTTGTTGACACCAGTACTACCACAGACGTGAAGGATGTATTCCCCTACTACTTTGTGTGTGTCACTAGGTGATAGTAAATTTTCAGCTCAATTATAACAACATGGGACCACTGTCATATGCAGCCTGTCAACCTAAACATGATGTAGTAAACTACCGTTATGTTGTATGCCTTTACGGTTGCCTTTTGTGCTTTTTAAAAATAAACTTTCAAAAGTTTTTTTTGTGTATTAGAGATTGAAACCAGGGCCTCGCAAATGCTGAGCATGTGCTCTACCACAGAACCACACCATAAACCCATCAAAAACTCTTTTTTCTTCTTCTGTTAATCTTTTTCTAAAACAGTTTTCAGTTTGGTTTTTTTTGCTTATTTGTTTTTCCTACCTGGCCTATGATTTTGCCCCCAACATGTAAAGCATGAAATCTCAAGAATGCAAACCTGAAAGAAATAAGGCTAGATCCCATGATTTTGAATTATAATGTATATGGAGAAATAATTCAAAGGAATTTACCAAATCATAACATTGTAAGCAGATCAAAAATTGTTACTGGGATTATTTTGTCTCGTACATACTTTGAGGTTCTTTGATATCTTTCTGAATCTGTTTCAATTGAAAGGAAAACTTCATAAAAGGGAATTCATAAGTAAGTAATTATAAGTTTTATGAATTATGGAGGCATTATGTGAGAGAAGGCCTAAAGTGAAGACAGGTAAATTGTAATTTGTTACCAAGAATGACAGTATTAGATAAAATACTCTTACAATGGGTCTTAAAAGTCCTAGGGTCAAGTATTGAGATTCAAATTCTATAAAGCACTATTAGAAGAAGAAAGTAAAGTGATATTGGAAGAATAAAGTAAAAGCAGATAGAGTGAAAAAGTAGATGTTAGAGTGGTACAGTTGTGTGCCATTTAACAATAACAACATGAACAAGAACACGTAAATGCATCATTAGGTGATGTCCTCCCTTTTGATCATCATGGAGTGTAGTCACACACACTAAGGGCTGCCACATTGCTGGCTGATATAATCTATGTGGCCACTGTCACATATGTGGTCTCATTGAGTGAAACATCACAGGGCATGACTATTAGTGTAAACTTATAGCAACAATGTCATTGAATAGAAAGAGGTAATAGGAGTGACTTGGTGTGAAAAGTTGTTATTTTGTTCCATTGTGAGCTTTTAGTAACAAAATAGTTACTTTAAAAGATGGCAGACAGGGAAAGCAGAATATAGAACTTTGTAGCTTTTAATCACCCTACTTAAAATAACCTTTCATTTTCCTAGTAATTTCTAATGTTTAGATACTCAATTTAAGATTACTTCCCAAATAAAGGGAACTTCTTCCTTTTATGACCCCACTGTGCCTTGTGTATGCCTTTACTATGATGTCTAGTTTATGGAGTTTTTATGTTTTACAGAACTAAACTCTTGAGAAATGAAACAGTGTCTTATTCATCTTTCTCTAAGGCTGGTCATAGGATCTGAAAGGAGGTGCTCAATCAATGTGAATACAAGTGAATGAAGAAAAGAATAGATTATGTAATTTAGTTATTTGAAATTTGTTATAAAGAATAAAGAACTACCAGCCTGAAGACATCCAGTGTTCATAAGAAGGATAAAATTAAACAGTCCCCAATCGGTTTCAGTAACAATCCAGATCGAATCACCAAAAAAATTATTTGCTGACTTTATTTATTTTTTTTGCATTACAATTCTTAATACATCATTATACAATAATTTATCATATCTCTGATTATATATAAGGTATGTTGACACCAAATTCACATCTTCATACATGTATTTTGTATAATGATGAGTATTTGCTGACTTTAAAATTGCAAAATATCAATATAAATTAGTCATAGAAAGCATTAATGAGTTGCTGGGTTTTTTTCCAAAACTTACTTTTAAATTCTTTCTTCCCTACAGATTGATAGGCAGCAGTTTGAAGAGACAGTTCGAACTCTAAATAACCTTTATGCAGAAGCAGAGAAGCTTGGGGGCCAATCGTATCTTGAAGGCTGTTTGGCTTGTTTAACAGCATATACCATTTTCTTATGTATGGAAACTCATTATGAGAAGGTAAAGCCACATTTGTTGTCTCTAAAGCTCTTGAAATCGTAAAGAAAGTACATTTATTATACATTTGTGTTTCCATAGTGAAAATTGCCATAAAGTTAATAGGGGCATCTAGGTGATAATTCAAGTTATAATGTTGCTCCTTTATCCAGAGCATATAGGAATGAGTCCTGAGTGTTTCAGAAACAGAGCAGAATTGGTGTGTCCACTGGGAATCAACATGACAGTTGATTCTTTTAAGATGAATGTGGAGAATCTATATATTCTCATTCTGTCCCATCTTTTTGAGGATCATTTTGCTTTATTTCCCCAGATTTCTGTCTTCAGTTTTATCCTGCCACCTGAGTTCTTGTCTTTTCTTACCAAATAACTGCTGAATCCAGAGTTGCTGGCTTCTCAACTTTAGGTGTCCAAAAGTCAAAACTCCGATCTCTTTATTTTGTTCAATAGTACCACTGTCTTTTCACTACCATTTTTAGGTATAAGAGATGAAAAAGAGAAAAATAATTAGTTGTCAAAGACCAAAATGTCTTTCATTTTCCTGTTTATTAATTCACTTCATCTGTCTTTATACTAATTTGTGCCCCTATTATCTCTCTTGTATTGAATTAGTCTCCTGACCCATCTGATTTCTTCCCTTCTTTTACTTTTCCAGCCTATCTGCTACTGTCTTTATAAAACAGCCTTACTTCCTACCACTGCTGCTAAGTAAGAGATCTTTTCTAACTTCCCAGTTACTGCTACTGGGTCAGGTTCAAGCACCCCTTGAGCTGACCTCCAGCTTACCACGCCACCTGTGTCTTCTACCCCTTTCACTTTCTTCATCATCTAAACTTGATGCTCATCAGTCACAAAAGTGACCTTTTTTTGATGGATGAAAACTTTCCATAGTTTTCATCCATCTAGAATGACATTCTTCCCATATTCAGATACCACTCATTCCTTATTTCCCACTTCATCAAACTTCTCCTTACTCTTCTAATCTGAATTTTTTTCTTTTCCTCTGTATTCCTACACCATTTGATTTCTATTCTAGGTGACGTGTGCTTTACTTGGAATATAATGATTTATGTTCACATCTTATCTGCCCTTCAACTATGTATTATTGTTGAGGTCAAATAATACCTTCACCAATAAATATCCCTCTTAATGCCTAACACTGTACTCTCTTAGTCTTAACTACAATCCTATCTTATATAAAAGGTATATTTAAATACCTAAGTTAGCAGCTTGTATCCTGCATATCACATTCAGAAGCAGCTAACATTTATTCCTGTTTTTAAAGTTACCCAGGATTAGTATCAGCTTGCAATCTGTTTTGTTTTGTTTTGTATCTCTTCTTTAATAATTTAATTTGGTGAATGAAAGGTCAGGGGATTCATTCATTCAATAAATATCTGTTGAAAGTCTACTGTGTGTTAAGTAACGTGCTAAGCAAGATACCAGGGAAATAATTGAACAAGACAAACATGATTGCTGACCTTGTGGAGTTGATAATTTCATGGTAACAAACTGATACTAACAAGTAAAGAAGTAAAACTAACAAAATTATAAAATGAATAAGTGCCTTGAAGGAAATAAACTGACCTATGATATAATAGGAACCTAATTTATGGTCAGAAAAGACCTCAAGGTGATGACATTTAAGCTGCTCTCTGGAGGATAAAAATCCTGATACCATTCTGGCAGAGAGATGAGTATATGCAAAGGCCCAGGGAGCTTAATATGTTCCAGGAACTGAAAGAAGATAGTATGGCACAAGAAGAGGGTTCAGAGAATGCCTCAGATGGATTTGGAAAGGTACACAGGAGTGGCATCACACAAGAGTATGTTGTTCTTGTAAAGAAGTATAGCTTTTATTTGTGGTGCAGCCAGAAGTTACTTGGAAGTTTTAAACAAGAGAGTAATATGGTCAGATTTTCATTTCAAAGAGATCTTTTCGCTCTGGGAAAAAGTTTAGGAAGCTCCACAAAAGTCCACACAGAAGTACTACACACAATAGTGTAGATGAAAGGGAGTGATCACCTCAAGGGATATGTTAATAGTAGAACCAAGACCCTCAGAGAAGAGCTCCATATAAGAGAGGAAGGTGTGCTAAACACAAATGGATAAAAAATATGGTCATCCAGCTAGCATGGTGATGAATGCTTGTAATCCCAGCAGTTTTGGAGATGGGAGGCAGGAGGATCGCAAGTTCAAGGTCAGCCTGGGCAACTTAGTGAGACCCTGTCTCAAAATAAAAAGGACTCAGGATATAGCTCAGTAGTAGAGCAGTCCTGGGTTCAATCCTCAGTGCATAAGGGGAAAAAAATTTTGTCATTCTAGAATGGTCATTTAAAGAGAAGTACATGATATTGCCAATTAAGATAGAAATACATCCTCTTGGGTGTTTTGTGTTTAGTGGCATATTAAGACTATTTCTCTACACCATTTAAATTTGTTTATAAAATTTTAATTAACAAATTTAATTAATTTGTTTATAAAATTTTAATTAATTTGTTCATGTATATTTGCTGAAATAGATATTAGATACTTCCTGCTGACATCAGTTGTGGAAAGAAATTAATAATTGGGTGCCAGCCAAGTCATACTAGTTAAAGGGATCCTGAACACATTCATCTTTCCGAGTTCTCTCAACTGTAAATTGTATGTTGGAATTATATGTTGCCTCACATTCAGGAAATACTTAGTAAGTGGTGTTTTCTTGAGATCAGTTTTAAAATGAAGTTCATGTCTGTATAAGTTTGATGGGATATTTGTGAACTCACAAATGTGTTTTTACTCTAAGCATAAATAATACTGTTTAGCTATCTGCTAGTTTGGATGCTAAAATACTTAGCTCTCAATTAAAATCCATTTGATAACGTTAAAAGATGATTCTTCTCAATATCAAATATAAATGGAAATTGATCCCAGTATGTTTTAACTTAGATTTATAGACAATATATGAAGTACTAGTTTAAAGATCTAATCAAGACCTTTTTTTTTTAGTTATAGATGGACCCGATACTTTTGCTTTATTTATTTATTTTATGTGGTGCTGAGGATCAAACCCAGTGCCTTACACATGCTAGGCAAGCACTCTCCCATCGAGCCACAACCCCAGCCCTAATCAAGATTTCTTTTTATAAAGCAAGTCAAAACCAAATAAAATTAATCAAGAAACCAAGACTTAAGGCATGATCAAACTTTTCAAATAAATGATATTTTTTCCTAGGAATTAGATACAAATAACCAGATCTTGCAAAGTTAGTAACTAATGATTATAATATAGTGTACCTGTACTTTTATCTTTTGATGAGGGGAGCTGATGATGGAACTCAGGGCCTCACTAGGCTAGTGCTTTACCACTAAGCTACACCCCCAGCATGTACCTATACTTTGTTTTTCTTTTCTGGTTTTTTGGGTCTGTTTGTTTGTTTGGGCAGGTGGGAGGCAATACTGGAGATTGAACATAGGGGTGCTTTACTACTGGAGTTCATCCTCAGCCCCATTTTTATTTTGAGACAGGTTCTAAATTGCCAAATCTGGACTGGAACTTGTGGTCCTCCTACCTCAGTCTCCTAAATTGTTGGGGTAACAAACATATGCTACCACTGCCAGCTGCATACCTATACTTTTAAAAGAAAACTTTTAAAATATGTCTTTTTGTCTTTAATAATCTTTAAAAAGAGAGAAAAAGTAAGAATAATCATCCTCTCCCTTCCCACACTGTCCCCTAGGAATTTCTGTGCTTTTATTTATGAAAGACAGGGTTGAGTCATCAGTGTCTTTTGTTTTAAATACTCAAGTTTCTAGTCTAAAGTTAGGCAAATATAATGATGCTTACACTTTTGTCATGTCATGTGGGTTAAATTTTTTGAATTTGTAAATAGGCTTTTTAAAACTTGCTAGAACAATTCATGCATTTTGTTTCCCATACTATGCCATTTATTGATTTAAAATGAAGATAAAGACTTCAGTGTTGTTTCTCTATTGTTGCTATCCATGATAATTAGGGAACAAATGAGCTTGTGGAAGGTTCTCCTCTCAGTAACTGTCCGCCTTGTTTATCAACTAGAAAGCATCTCTTTTTACTGTGTACTGAAATCTAAAAAGATTAGTTAGAAAGACAGACACTTGGGTATTTTCTGTATATGCTCACACCAAGCCTCACTCAGGCTGTTTTTTCTTGAAGGTCTATTAGACCATCTTCAGTTTAATATTTCTAGGGAAACCTTCCAGAGGTTTGACCATGTTTCATTTTGTAAATATACAAATCGTGTCAAAGGTCTGAGAATAATAGATAATTTTTTTAAATATTATGGTTTATTTTGACATTGATTTACCAAAATAATAACATGTCAATGTAAGGTTTCTTGGGGTGAGAATTGTGCTTTGTGCTGCCAATATTATTAATTTTCTGTTTCTAAGGGGCCTTAAAAGTTTAAAAGCATCTTGTTTAGGACAGAATTGCCTTCACCAAAGTAGCATAAAAGGATTTGGAGTTTATACAAAAAGAAGACTAATTGTTTTCTTTCTGAACTGAACCTATATGCACATGAATGTTACTATGTTACTAGAGTTTAAATAAAAATCTTGCCCAACAAAGTTATGCTTGAATTAAATAAAGGAATGCTATTTCCTTACTAGTAACCTGTAACCCTAAAAGAAAAGGAAAGCTGTTCTGAAGGAATCCTTTCTTCAAAACCAGCCATGCAAACCTTTTTCTGAGTGTCCCCTCCAGTATTAATGGACAGAGGCAAAGAGAGACTGAGTCTCTAGTTTCTGATTCTGGCATTTGAGCTCAGAAGGAAATTGAAGAGAAGATTAAGAGTCCTGAGTTGGACACCTTTATGGGATACTTCCTTCTGTTCATTATTTTAGGATGATTGACAACTCTGATACACAGATAGTACCTGAAGCTTGCCTTCTTTGGGGGGGGGGGGGGGCTCATAATGACCAAGCACAGCTCAGATTCTTTGAAAGCTGAAAATGGGAGTGATATATGCATTGCTTCAGGTAATTAAGTGAAAAAAATCTTTCTTTAGAAATAGTATTTTTAATTAAAGAATAATGCAGACTGCTCTGTCAATAATTCTATACTTTTTTAAAAGAGAAAACTTGAGACTGTACTGTCCACAAAGATATAACTTGAAAAAACTACATCTTTCTTCAGTAAGGAAATTCTTTGTACAACCGTATAATTTTAAATTCTAAATAAATTTATACCACAGCATCTAAATTATAACATCTGAATTTGTTAGTTTGGCCTGATACACATACCCCCATCCTTAAAATATTGCTTAACTTTAAACTATTTTTATATAGTTCTTTTTCCCTTTGTGCTGCAGTCACGTTTCTGACTTTATCATTTACTGATAGTGTGAATTTAAGAAAATATATAGTAATTTAAAGAGCTGAATCAAAGTCCCTTTGAACATTAGAGCCAGAAAAGGGTTATGAATAACTTTGAGCCTGAAATAAAACATGTAATTCTTTGATTTTGGATAAAGCTATTAAGATTTATTTTCTTCTAGCTTATCTGTCTCAGAATTGCCATTACTAAAGCTAGAGATGTGGCTATTCCAGAAGTTCCTTTTTATTCTATCTGGTTTTTGTCTGTATTTGCCTTGACTTTTACAAGCTTAATACTAAACTTATAAATTGAGGTTCCTGCCTGGGAAACAAGAGTAAACTGCAGAATAACACTACATGCAAACATGGAAATGCATGACTGTCACAATCAGAAACTCCATGACAGCTAATGTCTGCATGCTCTAAAAGGAAATAAACTTTCCTTTTCTAAAATGACTGGGTTCCGTTTAGTTATAAGCCAACTTTGTATCATTACGAAAATGCACAAAGAGAGGAAAACATTTGGAAATGTTGAAAGAGAAGGCCAGGAACTGTCCTTGATTTTAGAAAAGGTCACATTACCTGACACTTACTGAGTAATGAGAGAAGCATAACAAGCCATTGCGTATGTAATTGTCAGCTTATTTCTGTATATCCATGATTGAGGTGACAGGGAGGTAAGAAGGAAGGAAATTGGTTCTCATCGTGCTTTTGTATACATTTGCATTTACACTGCATGGAAGATACTTTTGACTTGAACAGTCTTATCACCCTGTGCTATAAATTGAATGCAACTGATGTGAGCCGATTAATCAGAGCTCTGTATTCTGCCTTACAATATCCATTTGACTTCCCTTGAAAACTAATTCCATTGTCTGAATATTTTGAGATCTAGCTTATGCTACAAGGGAAATCTGCTGAAATTTGTAAAAAGCTGCGGTGTCTCTTTCTGCCAGGTTCTGAAGAAAGTCTCCAAGTATATTCAAGAACAGAATGAGAAGATATATGCTCCCCAAGGTCTCCTCCTGACAGACCCTATTGAGAGAGGACTTCGAGTTGTATCTTTTTTTTAGTCCACATCATAAGGTCTAAATATTTAAAAAAAAAAAAAAAAATTGATGGTACCATTGTGTGTTGGCCAGAGACAGTTTAATTCCTATCTTTTGTATTTGCCTTAGGAAGTTTATATGTGAATTGCATATCTGCTGTAAGCATGCTGTCTCCAGCATTTTTTCTAAAAGCATGTCTTTTGCATTGTACAGGTCTCTGGATTGTTTAGTATTCTGGTTACCATCTTTCTTGGTGGTTCTGAGGGCATCTTGTAGTAATAATGGGAGTTGTATGAGTAATGCATTTCAGCTGCAGAAACTCTGAACCTAAAGCCCCTTTGAAATGTATAAACTCATAATGTGTGGTGAGACTTGTCATCCAAATGAATTGCAGTTCCATGGGGTCATCTGACTAGTTGAAATCAATTACAGATGCCAGATGTATAATTTCATTACCTTTGACACACTGTGCATATTTTTAGAAGCAGTAAGCTTTGAAAATCGCTAAGTGAATTTGGTAAATAAAATTACAAAAACTAATTTAGCTTGATAACTGAAGTAATGAGTAAATAATTTCCTAAAAAACCTAGGTCACAAAATCCTAGGCCTTCCAGCTGATAATAATTTCAGCAGTTTTATTTATACTCTGCAGCAGTGATTTTTAAACTTTTAGGGGTCATGAACCCTCTCTCAAGAAAAGGTTTTCATATAATTTCAAGGCAATTTTGAACCACTGAATTCATTACCTCCATGAATTCTCAGTTAAGAATTTCCTAATTCTACAAATAAAGCACTCTTTTCATATTTTTTTTTTTTGTAAATAAATCATTAGTGTTAGAATTTTCAGCAAAGTGGAGAAAGCAGGTTTAACAAAGTAGCAAATCTCTGCAAACCATATACATGTTGCCATAGTCAGTCCCCTTTTGTACGTTGCATTCTATAGTGTGTTTTCTTAACAGCCATGCTGTTTAGATTGAAATTACCATTTATGAAGACAGAGGCATGAGCAGTGGAAGATAAACCATAAAATTAAAGGTAAATATGAAATAATATGGTTTATATACAGCTTTTGAAAATTTATACATGACTTTTCCTACCTGCATAGTAAATAAGTCATTGAATTGTGCAGTTAAATAATGTTATATTTATTGTATTAGCTTAAGCTGATCACCCAAGCAACTTGATTTTTAAAATAATTCAAGATAAATTTAGTAATAGAATTTAATTTTTTCCCCATATTGTCTCTAGGTTCGTTTTGTTTTTTTGTTTTTAGAGTAAGGATTCTTTGTCTTGTTTTGTTTTAACATTTTGAACTATCCTAAACACTTAAGTGTTGGATTTTTTTGTATATGAATCAGTTCAGAGATTTGCCTGCATATGTGACAAACGGTTTTAATAAGGAAAGAAATATTTATTTCAGAGAGAAGTGGTAAGATTCTGAATATTTCTTTTATTATATTTAAGTGGCTTCAGAGCCCTGCCTAAAAAACTTGACCTAGTAGGTAAAATTGATTCCTGTTTAAAATGTTAATGTTCTTTTATATCCAGATAATGCCCTTTATAATAAGTAAGAAACAAATTAGTTAATACTAATTAGAATTTATAGGCAGAATCATGTTGAGCCCATAACTACATTTGGTTGGCCTTCTAAGGGACAGTAGATAATAGTTAACCATTGTCAATTTCAGTTATGTGCACTCTCTACAGAAGTATTCTGCTGCTACACTTTTCTAATTGACTTGCAGATATTTATTGCTCATTCACAGGCAGCACAGACTCAGAATAAATGCATTGGAGAGCGGGGACATACCAGGGATTGAACTCAGGGGCACTTGACCACTGAGCCACATTCCCTAGCCCTATTTTGTATTTTATTTAGAGACAGGGTCTCACTGAGTTGGTTAGTGCCTCACCATTGCTAAGGCTGGCTTTGATCCTTCTGCCTCAGCCTCCCAAGCTACTGGTATGACAGGCATACACCACCACGCCCAGCTACATATTCTTTTCTAAGGCAACAATAATAGTTCCCACTTACATCACACCCACTGTGTACCAGGCATTGTACCAATGGTCCTTCTAAATTACCCCAAAACCCTATAAAATGTTTCCCCCATTTTACAGATGAGCAAACTGAGGTACCAAGTGTATTAAATTATCAAGATCCCATAGTGAACGAGTATTTAGAATATGAATCCGAGTATGACTAGCCATAAAAGGCCAGTTTTGTACACCACGCTTCTTTTGCAGTATTTGCAGCAGTAGGAAAATACAGAAAGGAAAGAGTTTATCAGAGTATTCTAGATGTGTGTCCCTTTCTTCTCTTTCCTTTTTCAACAGCCTTTTTAAAAGTTCATTTTTTCCTGCTCCTGTTCCGTTTATTGAATTCTACAAATCATCCAACATTCCAGAGCTGCCTTCTTTGAGCACTAATGTGTCACCTGAACCCTTGAAAAACCAGAGATTTAAATGATGACATCCTCTGCCATATGTTTTATTCCTTTAAAAAGGCTTTGTTTTGGAACACATAATGTTACTTGTCCATAGACTTTCTTGTGTACAATTTTTAAACTGTTATTTTTCAAAATGTTATTTCTCAAACAATCGAGTAGGAACTTTCTGTGTGGTTTGTGTTATGTGCTATTTGAATAAGTTTGTTTTATCAATTGCAGCTGCATTGACTTGGCACAACCCATTTGACATGACTCATTTTGCAGCTATTATTGCTTAATAGGATGTTTTTCTGAGGTGGTACGGGGTTTTAAGCAATTACACACCAGAGGCTAATCTATCAATATTCAAACAACTGTGAAATTTTGAAATGGGGAAGATTTACATTAGAAACTTCTGGATAGTTTCATGAATGCAAATATTTTTGTTCAATACAATTTAGTGTACAGAGCTGTTCTTAGTCCAGGATCTGGTGTGGGCTGAGATCTTAGAGAGAAAATTAGAAGAATAATTTATTTAGTTCTACAGTTTTTCTTAAGTGTGCAAGTTGTCTGCATATTGAAGTATTACATGGGAATTAAATTTAACAAAAGAATACATCAACCATGGTCTTCATTTTATAGAAGAGCTTTAAACAAAATCATGTTGCTCTTTGATTTTTTTTAATATCATGTATCTCTATTAGTAGATACACTGATAAGTGTTTTCTCTCTGGATTAAGAGTGTTGTCTTTATTTAAAAAAATTAATGATTATTATATCACAAATTAGTGATAATAAAAATAGCTAACATTTGTTGGCACTGTGTGCCAGCCATGATTAATCAATCAATTGTAATTAATTTACAATTAAACAGCCATTGTAAATGATTAATCATCACAACTCTCCAAGGTGGATATTGTTTTCCCTGTTTTTCAAGTGAGGAAACTGAGGCACGGAGAACTGAAGTTGCTTAAAGATTAAACAGCTAGTAGATAGCAATCAAGTACCCTGTCTCAGTGATCAGCAGCTGACCCTGTGCTGATCATGGCATGATTGGCCAGAGATCTGATTATATAGGTTTAATTTCTAGACTGTTAAGCTGCATTCTGATTTAGACAAGTCATACAGATGTCAGTATTCTATCAGTTGGAACCCTTGCTTGGTGGAATATAGCCCATATAGAATAAGTTCATATCAGTTGATGTTAGAGAGATGGTTAGAGGTGATTTTTAGTACCCCTTTCTAAAACTTTTATTTTTCTCCTCTGATTATAGATCCCACATCCAGCTGGGACCCTCATCTACCCACTGGCTGATCACAGAGTGTCCCTACCTCCTCTCCAGAGCATCATTCCTTTGTATCTGCTGCCAGAGCCACGGTGCCATTTACTCCAAGGACTAACTTTCTAAAATTCCACACCTGGAGTGACCTCTAGTCGCTCAGCATCCACTTTGTGTCTTTAAATTGTGTAGGATTCTGTAATCTTTTGATTTGTTTCTGAGAAAACACAATGAAGCATTTCACATTTTTTTATTCAAAGTGATTATAAAATATGCAATTGGTCAGCCCAATGCAAAGTTTTATTTATTTCTTACTTGCCACCAGTACCATGAAATCTATTCATTCCTTGGGCCAATTTTCCAGGTGGCTTTAGACTTCAAGGAGTTTATATTAGTGAATGTTCAGTCTTATTCCCCCAAATTAATAAATGGCTTTTTTCCAGGTGAGGGATAGACTGTGTCTGTGGTTATGCTGATGCATTTCCCAGATTTCAAAGAACTGCCAGTTTTGCCATGATTCAAATCTTGAGATTGATTTCTGTTGTTCAGTTTTCAAACCGAAACTCATTGAAAAAATACTGTATAATGTTATTTGTTTTACTATAGCAGTTATATCTAATTAAAGCAGTATTGAATGCAATTTCCAGTTATTTTATTTGGAGCCTTTTATGTTATTATTGCATTACCTTGAATGTTGGAAAGATGTGGTATGTGTTGCTTGTTCATTACACAAATAAGTAAGCACAATAAAGTGGATGCTAAACCATCAAACACATATGTCCCTGCTGTGTCCCTGAATGTGTAATAAGCAAGTATAGTAAATATTTTAATTATAGTTTTGTTATAAATATAACTTATGAGAAAAAAATTTGATAGGCATAATACTGTATATTGCTAATTTTTACCCTACTGGCAACTTTATGATTTATAGATTCCTCATACAGCCTCTTACAGTATTCAGTGCACAGAAATCTTATAATTGGTTTCAAATAAGTTAAGTGACTTCCAAGTTAAACTCTTAAGTCTGAATCAGTACTTCTAGCTCTTCTTTTGTCTGTATGTTCCTAGTGTTTGGGTTTCTTATGCTCCTCATTCTTTTCTGGGTTTGAGAGCACTGTTTTTGGGAGAAAGTTAAGAAATATATTAGGAGAGAACGAAGCAGTTAAAAGATTTACTTTCAGAGATATTGTAGGTGCTAATACTGGATTTAACCTTTCAGATGTAATTTCTTTTCTGGATGTGGTATTATTCAATAAATCCCATAGGTCTGTGTAATATTTTAATTGTATAAAACTTTGTTACTTTATAGCCTCTTATAGTGTGTCTGCCTTTTAAACCCATTGCAATAACTTTGCTGAAATATTAACACATTAGTAAAACTTTTCTTAAACAAATTGTCTCTGTGTCATATTTGGTGTGATTTGATAAAGTGGTAAATGACATGGCATTAAATTTGGCAGAAAGACTAAATCACTGGTTACAATGTAGATTAGTTTTTTGTTTTGTTTTTTGATTAGGGGGATTGAACCTGGAGTCACTGTTCCACTGAGCTACACTATTTTTATTTTGAGGCAGGGTCCCACTAAGTTGCCTAGCCTGGCCTCAAACTTGCAATCCTCCTGCCTTGGCTCCCCTGTCACTGGAATTACAAGTGTCCCTGCACGTACCATAAATGAATATCAGTAGGTCACACCTTTCACTTGTTTACATGTTTTTAGAGCAGATACAGTAGTGTTGATAAAAGTCAAGGAATAGTTCTCAAGAGTTTTAAAAAGTATACGAAGAGACTGGAATGGTTCATTAGGAAAATGGTCACAATTATTGTTACTGTCTTAGATCATCTGATGATGCCAGTTTTTTTTTTTTAAATGATGTAGATTTGTAGAGAATAACAGTTTATAAGCTAGTCTATTCATTTGTGACCTTATTTTCCTACATAAAATGTTCAACTTCTTTCCTATCCAGTGAAACAAATAGTAACACAAGTAGTCAATTAATGTCCAGTAGTGTAAACTTGGAAATGTGTAGAGCATAGCAAACACCTAATTGACATCTTTGTTAGGAATGCCAAAATGCAGGTTCTGGACTATGTAACTTCTAGGATTCTTAGGATACTTTAGGAGTGCAATCTAGGTGCAGGCTGCTCCAAAATGAGTGGATACAATTACATTAGGAGATTCATAACCCTTTTTGGGGTAACTCAAGAGTCTCCGCAAAGGATCTGATTATTTTAAATTTATACCTCTCATTGGCAGGGGTTAATGAATTTTCTATTGTCAATATGGCTACCCCTAGGGTTTATGGTTACTTAAAATGTTTTCCTATCCTGAAGTAGCCCATCCATATGCAGATGTGACATTCTGTGAAATTCTGCCTAAAACCATGAAGTCCTATAGGAATTGAATGCCTATCAAGTTTTTAAGCCTCCATCTTGCAGAATTAATTTTGTAAATCAGGCACTACCAAAGATTTTAGTTAAGCACGATTATCAAGTTAAAACAAGTTTATTTATGCTAATGGAATTTTCTGGGGTTTTGTTTTTTATTTTTAGAAACAGGATTTTGCTATCTTCTCCAGGCTGACCCTGACCTGGCTCAAGTAATCCCCCTGCCTCAGCCTGCCAAGTAGTTGGAACTACTGATGTTTGCCACAGACTTTGTTTTATTAATAGTATCTGAACTAATGATAGTGATAATTTAACTGCTTAAACTTTAAAAGATAGTGATAATTGTGTACTGTCCCTTTTTTCTTGATAGTGAAATTTTTAATGTTCAAATTCATAAATTGACAAATTCACTTTTTTTTTTTTAAAGAGAGCACAGGGACTTAATCCTCTATTGCTAGGTATGTTTTTCCTTGTTCTTGTTCATATGTACTCCTACCTCATATTTTCACAGACCAGTTTATTACCAGAAAATGAGCATAATTTGTATTCAAAATGTTTTGGCGTTTACTCTTGGAAGCAATCAAATGGCAAGGAATATAACCTTAGAAGCTCAGGTTCTGTGGGATACAAAGATCGAAAACATAGGTGTAAACTCTTTCCAATTAAAGGATTGATGTGCATAACTTTTCCACATCTATGTACCAGTGTTTTTATTTAGTACATTTCCTACTTTTGTAGAAGCTTAATTATGTGCTTGAAAAGCAACATTAATGTAAATATTAGTGCCATGGTTTGAATGTGTCCCTGCAAAAGCATGTGTTGGAGACTTAAACCCTCATGCAACAGTGGTGGGAGGTGGGGCCTGATGAGAGGTGACGAGGGGCTCTGCACTCTGAATGGATTAATACCGTTGTGCTTATAAAAGGATGTGTTTTTGCTGGCTGGAGCACTTTCACACTCTCATTTCCCAGTCTTAAAATGTTCTAAGGATAAACAGACTAGGACAGTATCTAAATTTTAAAATGAGTGCTTCAGTTAATAAGAAAGGAAAGGCCAGCTTACATGTTGGGGCATTCTTAATATTTGCAGGAAAGATCTTCACCAATTATCTGATTATGTGGATAGGCTGCTTTACGATAGGAAACATTTTTTAAGTAACCAGAAACCCTAAGAGTAGCCATATATATTTACAGTAGAAACTTTACTAACCCCTTGCAAATGAGACCTGTAACTTTAAAATAATCAGACCCTTTATCGAGACTAAAGAATTCTGAGGAAACTTGCTTTTTTATTCCCAAGTACAATGTAAATTTGGAAGTGAGCCCAAGTTTTCTATACAGGAAATGTGTTAGAAAAATATGCAGCTGCATATTAACTCATTGCAACAGAAAATAAAAGAATCTCTGAGATATAAGGAAGACATTTAATCTCACAAGATAGAATTTAGTCTGATCAGTTCATTTAACAGACAAGCTTCATCAAGAACTTAAAAATTGAGCTGGGGGGTGTAGCTTAGTGGTAGAATGCTTACTTAGCATGCTTCAAGTCCTGGGTTGTATCCCTAGCACAAGGAAGGTGGGGCAAATCTTATTTGGCTGGCAGTAAAAATCCCAATAGGGATTTTTATGGTATCTATCTGACATTATGAGTCTAGAAATGGTGAGACATTCCCTACAACTAGCAAGACATGTTATGAAGTAGTGATTGAGATGGCATAGCATTGGTATAAGGATAAACTCAAAGAAAATGGAACAAAATAGAGACCTCAATGCAGACCAAGCTTGTGTGGTAGTATGATCATCTTCTGTTTCTAGGTCCTTTCTCCTCTGTTCTTTTATTCTAAAAGACTAATCCTGTAGACTGTATCAACCTGACTACCTTCTCCTATAGCTTCAATAGGGATTAGCCTCAGTGAGGCCTCAGCAAGAAACCTGAACATGGAAACTGATGCATGAAAGTTGCTACTAGTTGGACAGTTGCTTAGGGACCTAGAAAAAGAAAAATGGAGGCTGGTAAAGAGGAGGAAGAGAAGGAGAAGAACCCTATGTATGTGGACCTCTAGGAATGGGCACAGAGTGTGAAGAAACTCATATACCATGCAAATGCCCACTGCAGAGAGGCTTTCACTGAGGAAATGGAAAGTCCTTTGGATGTGAGTTGACTTCTTCCTAGACTCCCTGATGCTGGCTTGGTGGAACCACGTAGAATGATCATGGCCGCAAGAATGGATGGTTATGTCTGGCTCAGCAACATGGATTTCATCATTGTGGCTGATCTGGCTACTGCCACTGCTGAGTGTCCAATCTGCCAATGGAGGCCAGTGCCAAGGCCCCAAATGGCACCATTTCCCAGGAGAGGTTTTGATGATAACATAAAGTTGGACATTTTAATTACTGAATCAGTTTATACCATGTTCTGGTACCTAGATTATGAACTTTTCTTTTGAACCAAGGAATGACAAGAGTAATCAGTTTTTATCCAGAAGCAGGAGAAGAACTATCCTCAAAAAATAAATGCAAAAGGACAAAAATAAGGGGGCTAGGGTTATAGCTCAGTATAGAGCAGTTGCCTAATATGCTTGAGGCCCTGGATTTGGCCCCCAACCCAAATAAATAAATAAGTTGTTTTATGATTATATATGCCATGAGTTATGCTAATTGATGTAGTGAGTATATACATATACACACCACTCTCATTATTATATTACTTTTTGGAGACACATACCTTTGTGTTAAAATATAAAAATATGCCTGACAACAATAAATACCAAGTTTAGGAGAGAAGTTACCTCTAGAAAGAGGAATGGGGTAAGAAACAGAGTCGCCAAAGAACTTATATGGAATTTATAATGTCTTTTTTTGCAGTGCTGGGGACTGAACCCAGAGCCCTGTACATATAAGCACTCTACCACTAAGCTATGCCCCCTAACCCCCAAACTTATAATACCTGGCTTTTTATTTTCCATACTTTATAACAGAAACAACAATTGTATTTGTCAATGTAAATATCCATGCACACCAGTTAACATCTGCAGTATCTTGATGTGCTTTGATCACTTGGACACAATAGCCACCACTCCCTGGGATGTCACTCACACCTCCAGCTTAGTCTCCTCTGAGGCTAAGGCCAGTTAGTCTAAGTCTCAGTCAACAGGCACTATCCTCTGAGCTCAGCTAGTTCTAACATACCAAAAAAAAAAAATGCTTTTTCCTGCTAACAAGTGTGTGAGTAGACCTCTAAAACAAATAAACTTGCATATTACTGAGGGTAAAGGTCAAATTCAAGCTGAATTCAGGCTGAAATTTCTCACTTAAAGTAAACATGTCGAAGACAAAAAGAGGGTGGCTGAGAAACTTAGGATCTCACTTCTCCACAGAGAAAAGTCCAGAGTAATTTCAGCCTTCACAGAGCTCCATGGGTCACATCCAAATCTTAAAGATTCTGAATTAACAACTCCTTGAATGACAGCTGTTCTTATTTCAAAAAAATACTAACAACACAACTTCATGACCAATTTCAGTATTTTCAGTTGAAAGTATTTTCATGACTAAAGTAAAAATAACTGAAAAAAAATCTAATAGTTTTTATCACTTTGGGATATTCTTCTGGTAATATTATATATAGCCTTTTCTGCTCTGAGCTAATTTAATAGCAAATACCCAGATAATGAAACATAATCATCATGTCTCTTAGCTTTTAATAAATAGGGGATGAATGCTAATTAAAACATTTAATTTCACCAGTGAGAAACCTGTACAAAGTGATTTTGTTTGTTTGTTGATGCCTGAGATTGAACCAAGACCCTTACTCATGCTCAGTGTGTACATTACTACTGAGCTACAGCCCTCACCTGTACAAAGTGCTTTTTTTTTTCCCCCATTGGGGATTGAACCCAGGGGTGCTTAACCATTGAGTTACACTTCCAGAGTTTTATATTTTTTATTTAAGACAAGGTCTCATTACATTGCTTAGGGCTAAGTTGCTAAAGCTGATTTTGAACTTGCAATC